ATTGATCTCTAAACCTATCAAAGATTCCCCACACAAGAAAACTACAGAACAATCTCAATCATCAAAACTGTGAAAATCAAAGACCCATGGAGCCCAGACTTGAAAATTCACTGAGCAGTCAAACCAGTGTGAACACACGGGCGTGGATATTGTGTACAGGTTTTGGAGAAGGACCCTCCCGATCTGGCAGAAAGGAGAACAAGGCCACTGGCATTCAACTCTGAAACAGTGCGCCACAGTCTGATGTCTGTGGGTGAAGAGAGTCCTTTGACCCCACTGGTGACCAAGGACCAGATTAAGATTTAACAAGGCACCAGCCTCTGCCTCTCCACAGTACATCCCTTAGGAAGGGATTAAATCCTGGGGTGCCTTCCTCCGCACACAGACAACACCAGCCTTTCTTTAGGTCAAACAACTTAGAACTAGAACCCCCCCAAGCCCCCCACAATAAGGCTCACTCTTCCCATCTATATAAACTAAAATCAGACTCACGTTTGTTGGGACACCTCTCAGAGTAAAATCAGGGAGACAGCCTCCAGGTTCAAAGCCTCATTTGCATTATCTCCTAATTCTTTGTCCAGCTCTCATTGAGACTTTATTTCCAGTTAATGCCAGCAAAATTTAATTTGGCTTATTCAGAAGATCAGCCAGACTGACTTAACACAAGTGACTTATGTCTCTGAAAATCAAAACAAAACTTAAATTGTCTCCCCAGATTGAGGGACCCACAACCCAATTTCCTTTCGTTACAAAAAATTCCAGTGTCCTAACCAATCACTGTGGAGAATGAACTGTCGCCATATAAACATTTATAACATTCTACCCTGAGCCTTGTTCTGTGTTTGTTTTTGGTGCCCACAGTTTGCAAACTGCCTTTCAGTGCATGCACAGTACACTTTAATAATTATCGCTTTGATGGTTGATTGGTTTTGCTTCTGTTATTTCTGAATTTTGGACAATACAAATGCAAAAATCATCAATAAAATATCAGCAAATGGGCTCTAATAGAACATTAAAAAAAAATACTTCCCGAGTAAGTGGAATTTATTCCAAGAATGCAAGGGTAATCCAACCTAAGGAAATCTATTAACATAATTCATCATATTAATACAGCTAAAGAGAAGAATCATATAATCATCTCCACAGGCCCAGAAAGGTCATTTTACATTATTTAATATTCATTCGCATTAAGAGCACTCAATAAAATAGCAATTTATAGATACATACGTGTGTGTCCCAAAATCCCAAAGGGAGCAGTCTATTTTTTATTTAATGAGAAAACATTTAGAGGCCAGGAGAAGCAGGCGCACCACCCTCACCAGGCTGCAGAGCTGTGTTAGAGGGTTTAGCAGTGGAACAGGAGACAGTGAGTAGACAGAGATGGAAATGAGAAATGAGAGGCCACTGTATCTGTTTTTTGTTTTTTTTTAAGATTTATTTATTTATTTATACAAGCACCGGTACAGTCAGAAGCGTGGGAGGGTGAGAGAATTCACCAGAGTGGGGAACAGAACAGGCAGACTAGCGAAACACTGCTGAGTGGAGCAGTGGGTGCGGGAGCAGAGGTCTGTTACGCCATGTGGGACCCTCGCCGGCGGCCGGGGATCGAACCGGCGCTGCTGAGGCTGTGGACAGCTTGGCAGCCCAGAGCTCAACTGCCACCAGGGGAGGCACATATCTTAAGAAAATAAATTAATTAATAAACGTAGCTATTGCCAGCAAACACAATGGCAGAGAAGAGCAAAGAGCACACCCACGGGCCCCTCGTAAACTAGGCGCCAGGGGATCAACAACTCCAGCAGGCCCCTCTGGCAGAAGAGACCCCCTCACACACACCCAAAATTCCAGCAGTCACCTTGTTAGGGGGAAAGGATGTCCTGAGATAATCTCATACAGGCTTTGTGGACTCCACCCCCACTCCAGACTAAAGCCATCAGGACATTGGGAAAGACAAATCCCATCACCACCAAGGGGAGGGTGGCTGGGACCTGAGGGTGGAGTTGGGCAGCCAGGTTGGATATAAAAACCAAACACGTGGGCCTTGCTCGCTCTCTGGCTCGTGATCGCTCGCCTCCTGGCTTCACCGCTCCTGGCTGTCGGCCAACTCTGAGAGCGCCATTTTGGGATTCCTGATCGGCGGATCGGGTAGGACTCATTTAAAACTTTGTCTCCCACTTTTCTCCCAGAGCTGTACATTTCCTCATTTCCCTTTCCCTTATAAATAAACCTTTTATTAACCTTTCACGTGTGCCTGCAGTAGAGCATTGATAAGTCCTTTTAAGCGCGCGGGTGAGGACCCACAGTCAGGCACCCCGTTTTGTATCGGGGTTGCTCTACAACAACCTGACCCTATAAAGACCCGCACTCCCATTTGGGGCGCAGTTCTCAGCCTGCAGGGAGTCGTCACCTCACGGACTTTCAGTAAAGCCTGTTTTGGTCGGACACTCTTGGGCTCCTCTTTTCTAACATTCTGGGCCGAAACCCGGGCTGGCCTCCTCTCTTTTCTAGCAAAGAGCAGGGAAGCAGCGCATCCCAGCAGGGCAGAGCAGACAAAAGAGTGCATGAATCTTGCTTCATATTTAAAATTCTAAAATTTTAGGCATCCCATTTGGCCTAGGGGCTAAGTCTCACACAATCACTGCTGCAGCCTGAGTTCGATCCCCGGCCAGGGAGATACCCACAGGGCACGGCAGACCTCTCCTGCCTCAGCAGCGGATTTCAGTGGGTCTGCCTGATTTGCTCCCCACTCTTGTCTCTGGAGAGTCCTCTCACCTCTCGCACACCCCTGGTCTGTACCCCAATTCTTATATACATAAATAAGCAAGTCCTTTAAAAAAACAAAAAACGGCCAGAGACACGACCCACATAGTGTTAGGGGGAAGTGATGTCCTGAGTTAATTCCATACAGGATTAACTTTGTGGACTCCACCCCCACTCCAGACGAAAGCCATCAAGACTCTGGGAAAGACAAATCCCATCACCACCAAGGGAGGGTGGCTGGGACCTGAGGGTGGAGTTGGGCAGCCAGGTTGGATATAAAAAACCAAACACGTGGGCCTTGGGCTCTCTCTGGCTCGCGATCGCTCGCCTCCTGGCTCCACGGCTCCTGGCTGGCGGCCAGCTCTCAGAGCGCCATTTTGGGATTCCTGATCGGCGGATCGGGTAGGACTCATTTAAAACTTTGTCTCCCACTTTTCTCCCTGAGCTGTACATTTCCTCATTTCCCCTTCCCTTGTGAATAAACCTTTTATGAACCTTCCGCGTGTGCCTGCAGTAGAGCATTGATAAGTCCTTTTAAGCGCGCGGGTGAGGACCCACAGTCAGGCACCCCGTTTTGTATCGGGGTTGCTCTACAACAATAGTTCACTATCAGTTCCTCACCGGCAGGCACAACTGCAGGACGACTCAGGGTGTTTATTTAACCAACCAGGGAAAAGCCAAGAGTCACTGCAGACAAAAATGGTCCTTACCTCCCCCGAGGCGAAGCGGCATCTCCAGCGCTGCACAGGAGCAGCCGCCCCGTGTCCTCCGCCGCTGAGGCCGGGCTCCCGTACGTCAGGCCGCGCGCCCAAGATGGCGTCCTCCGCCGCTGAGGCCGGGCTCCCGTACGTCAGGTCGCGCGCCCAAGATGGCGTCCTCCGCCGCTGAGGCCGGGCTCCCGCCCCGCCAGGCCGCGCGCCCAAGATGGCGTCCTCCGCCGCTGAGGCCGGGCTCCCGCCCCGCCAGGCCGCGTGCCCAAGATGGCGTCCTCCGCCGCTGAGGCCGGGCTCCCGCCCCGCCAGGCCGCGTGCCCAAGATGGCGTCCTCCGCCGCTGAGGCCGGGCTCCCGTACGTCAGGCCGCGGGCCCAAGATGGCGTCCTCCGCCGCTGGGACGCGCCGGCCACACCCAGGCCTTCTGGACGCCCAGAGGCAGCGCGAGGGCGCAGGAGGTGCCCCGCACCGGGAGGCCCCCGCGGCCCCAGGCGGCGGCGCTCAGGGCCGCAGCCTCGGCAGGAGCGCCCCGACCCGACCCGCGCCCCGACCCGCGCCTCAGGCGGCGCCTCAGGGAGACGCGCCGCGCCGCCTCCCCGCCCGGCCGCGTGGCCCCAGACCCGCCGGTTTCCCTCGCTCCGCCGCGGGCGAAGCCTCCGCGCGTCCTCTGCGAGCGGGCGGCGGAGGCCTCCTCCCTCGGGGCCCGCCACGGCCTCTGGAGGGTCGGCGGGGGGGGGGGGGGCGGGAACCCCGGGCCCCAAACGCGGAGTCCCGCACCCCGGGACGCAACCGCGCCCCTTGCGCCTCGTTTCTCTCTCATCCCTCGCCCCACCCGAACGGCGAGCCCGGCCAGCGCCTCCCCGGGGCTCTCGGCCTCCCCAGCAACCCCCTCCGGGGGCGCCGCCGGGGACGGTCTCTCGGCTTCGGCCACCGGCCGCATCCTGCCGCGGCCCGAGTTCGATCCCCGGCCAGGGAGCTGCCCCCACGGCGCAGCAGACCTCCCCGCCGCCCGCGGCTCCCCGCAGCAGCGGATCTCAGTGGGTCCGCCTGGTCTGCGCCCCGCTCTGTCTCTGGGGAATCCTCTCCCCCTCCTCCGGCCTGTACCCCAGCTCTTGCATGCATAAATAAATCAATCTTAAAAAAAGTAGATGGGGGATCGGAATTTCAGCGTGGCTCGGGGGTCTCTGGCCCACAAATTCCACCGCTCTCCCCGCCCCGCTGTTACCGGTGGGCTGAAGCTCCTCTGCCCCACGCGGCTTCGGCGCAAGGGGAGAAAGCGCGCTTCACCTGAAATCACCGCTGTATCTGAGAAGAGCGCCGAGCTGGGCTTGGGGTCTGCATCAAGCCAGCTCTCCTCGTGTAAGAACGACTTGCGGATCTGATGGCGTCCGGTGGAACCCGTCTCGCCGCTGTGGCTCCTCAAGGTGTATGCGCAGCACCTCAGGTTCCAGAGGAGCCGGCGGGTGAAGTTCATCTGCAGCGCTCGGCTGGCTCATGCCCCCTTTGGAGGCCCTGCCAGCTTCTGCGTGTCACGCTGGCCTCTGTTGGAAGGAGCCGCAGACGCCTGGCGCGGGCATGTGTCACTGCTCTCCCTCTGCGCTGGAGGCCTGTCGGGGCTGTAAACCTCCACTCGCAGAGGCTGGATGGCGCGACGGAGAAGAGAAAAACCTGCTCTCACTTTCCCTTTGAGGTTTGTAGTCGACGACGCAGTTTCTCTGCAGAGGACCCAGCCTGAGCAGGCAGGAACGAGGAACCTGGAACCACCTCTGGGCCTCTGCCCGGTGTCCTCTCCAGGAGGAAAGCCCTCACCCTTGGCCCTGTCCTCTCGGGACACGCGCGGCCCCGAGGGAATGCTCCCCGCAGGAGCTGTGCTCCCTGCAGGGAAACTGCTTCCATGCCTGTCCCTGCCTCCTGCCCCAGGTGGCTCGGTGCACAGATCGTCCTGCTGACCAACGGACTGTCAGCTGCGGCACAAGGCTCGGGGCTGGGGGCGGCCAGGACTCGGGGCAGAGGGCCCTGGACAAAGTCGCTTGTTGAATGAAGAAATGAACATGCCAAGATGCACAAAGGTGTTGAAAACTAGGTCAATGGGTTAAAACAATTAACATGCAGAACACAAAAGCGTTCCTTTGCTTTAAGCTGCTGCTGCGGGTGGAGTGGCCTTCGGAGCAAGCTGCCGTGGAGACGCCTCACCGCCCCTGGACTGTGGCTGAGACAGTGGACGTGCTCTGGGTCTCTCCAGCCGGAGGCCAGGCTGATTCTTAGAGGCTGATCCAGGGACTAGAGACATCTTCCCCTCCAGCTTTTCCGCCCTGTGGTGGACTATGGATGCCTCTGTCTTCCAGCCCATGGGAATGGGGTCAAGTAATTAGGGAGGAGACGCTACAGGAAATCAGAGAGTCCAGTGCTGCCCTGGGCTTCTTGGAATTCCAGAGGTGACCAGCTGCCCACAGCTTGTTCTCAGTTCTGCATTTAGATGAGGGAAGCGACACCCGCCTTTCTAGGCGTTATTCGACTGCATCTCCAGCATCCTCCAAATTGAGGGGCATTTTTCAAATTCCCTTGAAGTTTGTGAACAAGAATCTCCAAGGAGGCGTTGCTGTCTTTGCCCCTGATTTGTGAGCTCGCACTAGCTTGCAGCTCTCTGCAGGCGCCCGGTGTTAAATTAATAACAAATGATGTGGAGCTGACAGGTAGGTGAACACAGAGAGTGCTGTGATATTAAAAAAAATCTCCATCTATTATGTAGTACAGTGGGCTACACTTTGTCAGCTTTTGCCTGTAGGTATCTTGATTTTACTTAAATATTTTGCTCACATCTTTTTAACCCAGAGAATGGAAACATAGCCCTTAGCATCTCTCCAGTAGATTCTGCAGCATCTATTGGTCTGACACAGAATAGCAAACTTCACCAGTTATTTGGGATGATGTGAAAATGCACTGAATAAAATAGAAAGGATAAATCCACTTTCTCGGTGGAGGAGCCGTCTGCTTCTCATTTGAAGTTAGAAGGGGTTGTATTTGGGACAGAGTCAGCACTGTTGTCTCACGAGCACATTCATCCAGCTCTGACAGCTTCAGAATCAGGACACTTCTCATCGTTAGCAGTATTTAAATAACAGCAGGTCATCTGCCAAGAAATCCTTGGAAATGATTCTTAGCAAGTATGTGGAATATGAATAGAAATAATTTGCAGTGTGGAAGCGCGTGCGGCCAGTCTGTGTTGTGCATTCCAGTGCAATGCAAGCACTTATTTAAACATGTTTATTATCGAAAATTTCAAACGTGCACAATCAGAGACAATAATATAATGACCTCTATGACCGATCACCCTGTTCCAACTACTGGAAAATTTCTTTCCAAGAGCAGTGCTATGTCAGAAGAAAACGTGGCCAGTTCCACTGCAGGATGGGGTGAGGCTGCAGCCCCCACGATTCTATTTCATGAGCATGAGGGTCAGCTTTCCTGTTCTGAAGGGTAGCTTCCTGGGATAAGTTGAAAGAGAAGACTTGGGCTGGGGTCTGCTACCTGCTTTGCTGTGCATGACTCACGCCTCTGCTGGATCCAAATCCTGGACAGCTGTGACTGTCTCTGCACACTGGGGAGGGTGATGGGTGGTCCATTCTCTTTCTACACACTGCCTTTGCTTCCATAGCATCAGACTTCTCTAAGGGTGAGCAGCTTCGGGGGATGGCAGCCAATGGGAGAAGCTCTAACTATGACTGGCCCCTCCCAGAGGTTGTACACTTCCTGAGGTTGCACTGTTCCTGAGGTTGTACTGTTCCTGAGGTTGTACACTTCCTGAGGTTGTACCCTTCCTGAGGTTATATACTTCCTGAGGTTGTACCCTTCCTGAGGTTGTACCCTTCCTGAGGTTGTACACTTCCTGAGGTTATACTGTTGCTGAGGTTGTATACTTCCTGAGGCTATACTCTTCCTGAGGTTGTACCATTGCTGAGATTGTACTGTTCCTGAGGTGGTACTCTTCCTGAGGTTTTACTCTTCCTGAGGTTGTACACGTCCTGAAGTTGAACTCTTCCTGAGGTTGTACACTTCCTGAGGTTGTACATTTCCTGACGTTGTACTGTTCCTGAGAAGTCCCGCATGGGAAGCCCCAGATCCTAGCTCATTTTTCTGCCCTTGACTTCTATAGTTGCACAAAGGTGCTCCTTTGTCTCACCTTTGCTCACAGAGATCCATCCTTCTCTTTCAATCAGTTCATTTCCCGCCTGGGTTCTTGAACCCAGAATGCCAGCAGGGGCTCCAGGAAAGCAGTCGTTTTGACCTTGGAGGGTAAACTCCTTGGAGGAGCTCCAGGAGGTTAGGGCTGAGTCCAGCAGCCACCTGGCAGCCGGCACCTCTCCATTCTCCAGCCTGTTCTCTGAACCCCTGGAAGAAAGGCTCACGTCCACTCCTACAGGGCCAACTTCAGCTCCTGCTTTAAGGGCACGGCTGCAAGTAAAGACCTCAAACTTGAGTCTACCTTCATCCAAAGGTGCACTGTTGGTACCATGTTGACCTAGAGAGTTAAAAAAAGTTTGCATTAGTGGCCTGCATTAAAAATCAGGAGATTTTAAGGGCCTCCCTGGTGGCACAAGAGATTAAGACACAACCTAGGAAGCTGTCCGCAGCCTCTGCAGCACGTGTTCAATCCCCAGCCAGGGAGGTGACACACGGGGCGCAGCAGACCTCTCTTGTCTCCCTGCTGCTCCCCTCAGGAGTGGATTTCAGTCAACCTGCCTGTTCTGTTCCCCACTCTGTCTCTGGTGGATCCTCTTACCCCCTGCACCTCTAGCCTGTACCCCAGTTCTTATATGCATAAATAAATCTTAAAAAAAAATCAGGAGAGGGCATCCCCTGGTGGCGCAGGCAGTTGAGTGCTGTGCTGTGAAGCTGTCCGCAGCCTCTGCAGTGCCAGTTCAATCCCGGCCAGCCGGCGAGGTTCCCACGTGGCATGGCAGACCTCTCCTATCACGCCCGCTGCTCCCTGTTGTGCCCAAGAGCAGCAGACTCGGCGAGCATAGCCTCCAAGAATCCAAAGACAGCTGATGCAAATGCAAAAGGGAGTTTATTACGGGCTTGAGACTGGGCCCTCGACACGCACCGATGCAACGGCAGAGGTCGAGAGCCCCGAACAGAGGAAGCAGAGGTATCTTACAGGGTCGCGAGTGGCGCGAACTTTGAAAGAAGCTGGCAATTACTCATTGGCTACTACAAAGGCATTGTGGTGCGCGGATACAGTTTCAAACTGATTGGACGGTTAGAGATGCTGTCCCATGTATGGACAGGACTGCCCTCATTGGCGGCTGGGGTGGTCTGCTTTTTCGTCACCAGGTGGAGTGAGAGTTGTGACTGCTGAAACTATCTCCGGAATGCGGCTGGACAAGGACTAACATAGCAAGGTGGAGGATATACAAAATGGCAAAACCTCGGCTAAGCTTGGTTCCACACTCCCCTCAGCAGTGTACTTTGTCAGTCTGCCTGTCCTGTTCCCCGCTCTGCTTCTGGTGAATCCTGTCACCCTCCTGTGCATCTGGCCTGTACCCTGGTTCTTTGTAAAATAAATAATAATTAATAAATCTTTAAAAAAAAAATCAGGAGATTTTACATAAAAGCCCAGATTTCTGGCCCTCCGTGACAATTAGGGCAACCTGGGAGCTCCCTGCATTCTTTCTGGGGGGTGGAGGGGAGTGTCAGGGTCTCCTGCCCTGGCCGGGGGCGGGGGTGGGGTGGGGTACTCTCTCTGGTTGCACAGACATCTATCTTGAACCCCCTGAAAGCTGTGAAGTCATTGCCCTTTACTTCTCATGCCCCCAAACCATTCCTCCCTCTTCCATTTCTCACCTGGCCCTTGTGGGCTGCTGCATGTGCGACCCCTCATTTAAACCCTCAAGGAAGAATGATACTTTCCTGACAGCCCTACTCACACCCCATGGGCATGAGTTCCTTGTGATGCAGAGAAGCGCTGATCCGGTTCTTATTACCACCCCCAGCGCCCTCCAGCTGTGCCTCCCCCAACCCTGCAGGATGCCTTTCAAAGGGATCATTGCGTAGAGAGCTTCTTGTTATGACCTGAGCCTGCAAATCCCCAACGCTTTGAAATGACTGGTGCTTCTTAGTGAAGGGGTAGCTCAGCCTGCGGTTGGGGAATCCGGAGAGAACAGGAGTGGCTCCATTCTGCCCTGACACGTGACTCGGTGCCTAGAATGCCATCAAATTACTTCCACAGACTCTTTCTTTAGTGGGGCTTAGCGGGGAGCTTAATGCGGGCTTAATGCGGGCTAAGAGAGTCGCAGCTTTCATGCGGATCAATGACGCTTTGAATAATTTACTTCTAAGGTGTTTTTTTTTTTTTTAAAGATTTATTTTATTTATGCATACAAGAGCTGGGGTACAGGCCAGAGGTGTGAGGGGTGAGAGGACTCCCCAGAGACATAGTGGGGAGCAGAACAGGCAGACAGACTGAAATACACTGCTGAGGGGAACAGCGGGGAGATAGGAGAGGTCTGCTGTACCATGTGGGCATCTCCCTGGCTGGCTGGGGATCGAACTCTTGCTGCAGAGGCTGCCGATAGCCTCACAGTGCTGTGTTCAATCCCTTGCGCCACCAGGGAGGCCCCTACTTCTAAGATTACCTAACCTTGGCGTCTCAGGGTATTTCCTCCACACATCCCATTGATCAAGGATCCCTGGCCCAAGACGAGAGGCAAGGCTGTGAGGAGCCTGGGGACTAAAACCACTGCTCTGGTCATTTTGGAAAATGCACCATCCCAGCCACAATAACGCACGTCCCTGCTCTGGGGAAGCCAAACTTGCTCCCAAGCCTCACCCACGAGGACATGAGCCCCCATCTCAGTATCAGGCTCCCCTCACTTAGATCTGGTCCAGGTAAGGACGAGGCTTTTGAATACCACACTGGGACAGTCCCCGGAGGACTGACATGCTGAATTGTTTGGAGCCAACACTCTGACGTGGGATCCTGCACAGACTCCTGCTGGACGGAGGCACAGGTGCCCAGGTGGGTGGTGACACTGCGGCAGGGGCCACAGGGCCATTTCCAAGGTGAGGGCACAGGCCTGGTGCCTGGAGAGGATCCCGTGGCCCTTGGTTGGATCCTCTGCATCCCCTTCCTATTGTTATAGGACAGGGAGAGGGGCAGCCCAAACCCCACAAACCTGCCTATTCTAAATGGGTTCTGCCATCCGCTGCATCAACACAAAACATAGGAGACTTTAATGGGAAGGAACTTTAATAAAACTAGGAAACAATACAGGTAAGGCAAAGAGTCTAGTTTCTAAGTGAAGCACCCAAAGTGACCCGTCCCCTCGTGGGTAAAAGTCCATCCAAATGGGATTGGCCCAGAGCAAGGCCCCAAAGCCTGCCATGAGTCTAAAGCACCTTCCAGTGGGGACCCACAGCAAAGGGTCAGAAACAATCAGACAAGCCCGGAAGGAAAAGAGCAAAATCAACATCAAGATAAAAGCTGCCATGGTCACCTCCCCACGGGTCTCACCCACATCTGTGTCACCCAGTCCACGACCAAAAGACAATCGCAGTTTCTTCACGTGTCTCTAGGCTCCATGCGCCTCCTCCAGGTCTCCTGGCTCCATCCTGCTTCTTTCCTCAGTCTCTTCTTCTGCTTCTCCTCTTCCTGCTCAGCTCCACCCTCCCTTGGGTGGGGCAGGGAACCTCCCCCTTTCCTGGGGACCACCCTGTTACAATCCCCCCTTTTAATTTTTATTCCACCATATGTTTTTGTGTTGATGCGGCGGATGGCAGAACCCATTTAGAATAGGCAGGTTTGTGGGGTTTGGGCTGCCCCTCTCCCTGTCCTATAACACTATTGTCACCACTCCCTGCAGCACAGGGTTAGTCTCAGTGCTATCAAGCTGTCCGCAGCCACTGTAGCACGAATTCATCCCCAGCCAGGGAGCTACCCACAGGACGCAGCAGACCTCTCCTGTCTCCCCGCTGCTCCCCTCAGCAGTGTGTTTCAGTGGATCCACCTGTTCTGCTCCCCACTCTGTCTCTGGTGAGTCCTTTCACCCCTGCACGCAGCTCTTGTTTGCATAAATAAATAAAATATTAAACAAAACAAAACTAAAAAGACTTAATACTTACCACCAACAACTAACATTACATAGTTGCAAGAATCCTTAGTGATGCCTTCCTGGTCCATGCACCCGGGCTGGGAGCCCTGAGAACAGGGCGAGAGGGGGCAGGGAAGCTGGCTGACAGCCCCTCATCACCTGCCACTCCCTTTCAGGGTGGGAAGGAGGGAGGAGGAGGTGCCTGTGAAAGTGAAGGCAGAGGTGTGCCGCCACCTGTGCATCACGGGAGGATCTAGAATTCCTGCCCTCCCCGCTCAGCACCCGCCTGGGGCCCCGGAGCACTGGCCTGGAGCCGGGACTTAGGGGCAGGGCTGGGTGCAGGGCCCTGGACCAGGAACAGGGCCGCCCAAGCGTCCTCGGCCGGGGCTGCTGTTTGGGGCCTGGCCAGCTGAGGTCACTATGGGACCGTGAATGTGGCGCGGGCAGCGGCTGGGGTTGCAAGGACAGCCTCCCGCCTGGCGCCAGCCTCTGCCCCGCCCCCTCTCCCGCCGCACAGTTTATAAAATTGAGAACTGGCTGGCGGATTTAATTTTGATGGAGAATTACCTGTAGGCAAGAGGGCAATCAAACCCACCCTGCTAAGGAGAGGGGCCGAGATAATGAATCTATTACCTGCGCTTAGGCGCGTGGCCTGCCAGCTCTGCCTCCTGCGCTGGGCGCTGGCCTCCTGTTCCGCACAACCTGGAGGTCTCCAAGAAGGGGCGCGACTGGCCGTGCAGTTTCTTTTCCTTTTTCTGAAAAAAATTTTTTTTTAAATTGAAGCAACCTGGCATTATAAGGGGGTTGAGGTTTGGGGGGGGTCTGCTAACTCGGGGGGCCTGCACTGCATCCACCACCCAAAGTCCAGTTTCACCCTTCACCAAGTCACCTTCCTCTTGACCCCCTTACTCCCCTGACAGGTCCCCCCCCTTCCCTCTGGGGCCCCCACTCTGGCCTATCATGTGCGTTTCCAGACTTCTCCTTCCTGGCTCCTTGTCTGAGCTGCCCTTGTGGGGGATGTCACTGTCCCTGCTGGACTTGGGATTGCAGATCGACTTCTGGATCGCAAAGTTTCAGCAAACCATGTGGGTTTGGCAAGAAGAAGCCGAGCGGATGGGTGAGGACTAGCGGGGTGTAGGTTTCTACAGGAGGAAGGGATTTCTGTGCCCCTCGCCTTGGCCGCCATTGAGCCTGTCCAGCTCTCAAAGGCCTTGGGGGGGTCTGGTAAAGCTTTAGGGGTTGTAGAGTGCCCTGCTGACTGGGGGTCACTGCCTGCACCCACTGAATTTGTTTGCTTGTGCTTTGAACACAAAAGTTAATATGGGTCGCTTAAGCAGTAGAAGTTCACCACCACCACCCCCCCCCCCGACCCCCGCCACCCAGTCCTGGAGGCTGGATGTCTGATTGCAAGCTCCAGGGGGTTCTTCTGGGAGCTTGTCTCCTGCTTCCAGATCACTTTCTTTTCCCCATGGGCATGCGCTACCAGCCTCTGCACCCCATGTCCCTCCAGAGGCGCCAAACTCCCTCCTATAGGCACGCAGATCAGATTAGATTAGCATCCACCAAGGGCTCCTGTTTTAATCCAATCACTGCTGTGAAGGGCCCCATCTCAAAAGCAGTCACTGTCTGAGGTCCTGGGTTTTGGGGTGCTCACATATAAATTCCAGGGGCACACATAGCCCATCACCCCCTTTCACCCCTCCTTGATCAAGGTCAAGGTTGGCCAGTCTGGGAGGCTGATTATTTCTTTGACATTTGTCCTCCAATTTCCTTCGCTTCTCTGTGCCTTTCTAAGTGGGGTGGTCGAGACTCCCAGGAACCCCCTCACCCCGTGGTCCTGGTCACCTGACCTAGGGCTCTCCCAGACGTCCAGGGAGCCTTGTGGGGACAGAGCCCCAAGGGGTGGGGGGCTCCAGCCACGCCTGCCGTTTATCATGGGGTTTTGATGGATGTGACTTGTCCTACCTGGTCTGTCTGCACGCAGCCTCGGGCTGTAGAGATGCATTTGAAAGACATCCTCCACCAAGATACTGTAAAGTTAATTTCTTGAAAATAGTTAATGCCAAAATAATTGAATCGAGAACATGGTTTTTTAGGCAGCACGACCAGCTCGAACCTTTCCCTACATAAAAGTAAAGCAACTTGCGTGAAAATAATGTGCATTAAATACCTCGTAGCCTCGTCATGCTCCTGCTGGAACACTGAAGAAGCATAGATAAATAAAATAATAAAAATCCGTTATAACTGATTTTTTTCCTTCAAAGAATTGTTCATCATTTAGTTCTCACTGGGAAAATCATATGCTAAGCCCTGTTTTTCAACACAGGGAGCACATCTCAGTCGCACGGAAGAAAACCTGTCTTAAACGGTAACTGCGTGGAATTGACGACTGCGTCTGTGCGATCGCGTCTGCAGGAGAGGTTGCGGGGGCACCCAGCAGCCGCGGCTGTTGTGAGCACTTCGCGAGCCCCGATCTCGCACTGCAGTGAGAAGACACGGAGAAACAGCAAAGCCACTTGCACCACTTCCCTGCATGCCAGTGCAGGCGTCTCCTTGGCCTCTCGGACATCCACACGCCCGTCTCTGTCACGCTCGGTCTTATCACCACCGCCGGATGGTGTGTCATCAAAGGCTTCATAGAAGGTGTCCGGAGCTTGGAAGAAAGTTCTGGAAAGTTCTTGGAAGAAAGTTCTGTGTCCTTCCTCCCCGTTTGAAAAAATGGGTGGTGGAGCGGGGGTGTAGACAGGCCAGGTATGCAGCAGCCGGGGGAAGGGGGGAGTCCCAGCGCCCCCAGCCAGGCACAGCAGGTCAGGAGCCAGCTCCTGTGGGGTGGAGTCTCTCATGAATGTCTTTTGAGAGATGCTATGAGACCAGCGGTGGTCAGGGCTGCGGACGAGGACCCAGGTCTACTGCGGCGTCTGGCACTTGTTAGTGGACAATCTGACCAGTCTGCAGCGTCCCCCTTCTGTGCCGGGACTGGACATCTAAGATCGTTAAGCAGAATTACTTGTTTTTTTTTTTTTTTTCTGGAGAAAAGAGAAATCACTGAGACGCAGTAACATGTTAGTAAACAAGCATTCTATTTTAGCTTCTGGGAAATTCTGTCCATCCCATGGCTTCTTCCCTGCCCACACTCCTCTGAGAAACACATTTTGGTGCAGAGAGATGCCAGTGAGTCACCACTTCAAGATCAAAGCAGGTGTGTTTCAGACCTGACCACCTGCAGCGTCCCTGCAGTGAGTCTTGTACCTCTCACGGACACTGTCCTTCTGCGGGTGGACACACCTCCCGACGCCGTTGGGGACAACTGGCCGGAGGGGACGCTGCTGCTGTCAGGCCCGGCAGCACTGCCTTGTCTGCACCACACAACCCTTGTATTGTCAAATAACGTCACACCAAACACAGTCCTCGCAGATCTCAATTTCCCATGGAAATGGAAAATCTGAAAACAATAATTAATTTGGCTTTGCTGGCACCCAGGAGACTTCTGGGCGACAAGAGATGCATCTCAGGCTCTCAGTATGATGGTGACAAGAACTCTGGGGGTTTCCAGGGGTAGACTTCATGTTGGCTTATAATGAAACCCACCTGAGACATAGATCATGTCATAAGGCAACGTGACTTCCATAAAGAATGAAAAACAGATCAAAGCCTCCTTTGTTCATGCGAGCACAGGATTGAAAGAATGAAAACGAAGGGCGGTGAGGAAGACCAGGGAGAATGGAGAGCTGGCTTTCTCCAGGGCGCGGCCAGGCCCAGGGAATTCCTACTCAGGAATTCACTGTATTTGGCTCTGCCCCCCACCCCCGTCCAGCCATCCCCGCTTCTGCAGTCCTTGCTTACTGCGTCCTTGCGGCCTCTTCTGAACTCCATGCTTTTCCCACGAACAGTGTCCTAAAGTGCTTCCATCAACACACAAGCACCGTGGCTGGGAGGCCAGGTCTGGGGTGTCTGCTTTTGAAGCTCACCAAGCTTTGCTAGGACAAGGCAAGGCGAGCATCCCCTGGGGTGATCAGAGCAATGTGCTGAGCTACCTGTCGTAGCTGATCAGCTCGGGCTGCCGATGGGAAGAGGCAGCCTCGCCGGCCTCCTCAGACAAGTGTGGGTACCCGGGCATCTCTGCCTCCAGCATCTTTAGAAGCTCAGGTCTCAATACTGATTGGCAAAACTCAACTTTCTGGCCTTTGCTGCTCTGCTCTGTTTTCACGGTCCCCCTGCCAGGGGGTCCCCTGCAGAGCGTGGTTTGTTTCCTTCTGCAGTTTCCCTTGCCCCACCTGGCGCGTCCTGTTGCCGAGCGCCCCCGCCCCGATGCGAGAGCTTGCCGGAGCTACGGAACCATCTCCTTTCCTTCCATCTCGCCTGAAGACCCCGACGAGCAGGCAGGAGCCTGCTAGTGCAAGCTGGTGTCACTGAGGAGGGAAGGAACTTGAAAGACATAGAAAAATATCATACCGCACGTGAGGTTACTGGAGAGGAAGAACTTGTCTTTTGTTGCTGTGAGCCTCGTTGTCATTGTTGCCTTGCCTTCCTCACCATCCTCCCACCGCCATCACCGTCCTCCCCACCCTCACCATCCTCCCCTTCAACCTCCCATCACCATCCTCCTCTTCCTCCTCCCCACCATCTTCCCCATCGCCGTTGTCATCAGCATCCTGCCCATCACCCTCCTCCCCATCCGCCGCCTCCTCCCCGTCACCCTCCCATCCCCATCATCATCGTCCTCCCCATCACCATCCTCCCCATGACCACTCTCACCACTCTCATAGTCGTCATCACACGTGTCACATCATCCTCATCCTCATCCTCGTTCGATCCTTCCTGGTCCAGCCATTAGCTGAGTCTTGAAGAATCCGACTTCTCTGAGAGTCTCAGACTTCAAGGTCTCTCTGAAGTAGATGACGATTTCGCTTTCAGACCATGACGTGTTTGTTCCTGTGGTTAAATGTGAATGACAATCTCGTGTCAACCTCATCACCCGCCATGCTGACACCTCCCCCTCACACTGCTTAGCAGTCAGCTCGTCACGGACAAGCCCCGTACACAGTCATCCCTTTAGAAACAGAAGCAGGGTAGCAAGAGTTATAAATGGCATCGTGCAAGCTTCAGTGTGTGGTTAATGCTCTTACAGGCTGGCTACAGGCCTCACCAGTCCTCACCAGGTGGCTTAGTGATGCCTAAGCCACCACGCAAGTAAGAGAACTTTGGGGCGACACAGAGAGGAAGGACTCTTTGCTCCCTAGAAGACAGAAAATCCAAGTCTAACACGAGTGACAGAAGCAGCCCCAGACTCCTGCACGCTGTGTCATCTGCTGAGTGTGATGTTCCTGAGCCTCCTCTGTCAGCGTGGCCAGTCGCTGCAAGTCGGGGCTGGAGGCTGCCACCTTCTCCCCGCACAGCTGAGTCTTCAGATGAGATACCCGGGTGCACCGACTTTGAAGCTACAGCCTGGCAGCTCTGCGTGCAGTTATCTGTGCTCCTGCAAACTCTTTTAGGTTTTGAATGTCTGCAGTGCTCACCTGTGCCTGTTTCTCGTGAATATAAAGTCAAAGATTTAAAGAAGCAATTATAAGCAGTGTGAGATTTAGATACCAACGACATTGTGGATGGTCTCTCCAGAGAACAGAATCCTTTGGATGGCTCGCTCCCTCCTGAGAGTTATTATAAGGAGTTGGCGTACAGGCGGCAGAGGCTGGTAAGCCCGAAATGCCTGAGGCCCTGGAGAGCCAATGGTCTCAAC